GTGTGGCAGTCGCACGCCAAGCGGCTCCTCGTGGCGCACGCGCTCTTCTGGAGCGTCGTTGTGAGCGTCCCGATCTGCATCTGCATTCTGCAACTCGACGACGCGACGATCCGGGGCTATAAGAACTGGTACCAAGCCATCAACAACCTCGTGCTGTGGGGCATCGCCATGTACTTTTGCTACTGGGAGTACAAGGAGCTCCGAGGCTACGGGCTGCGCAAGTACTTTAGCCTCGTGAACGCGACCCAGATGAGCGTGTACCTGCTCATCATCTTTGTCTACGTGCCGTGCCAGCTCGGGCTCTCGCACGCGACCATGCTCCGCGAGTACCAGGTAATACGCTGCAATTTGACGTCGGAAATGACGTTTAACTAGCTCTGCCTCGTGGGCTTTCTCTGCCTCGCGCTCTGGATCTTGTTTCTGCAGCAGCTCGAAGTGCATCCGACGACCGGGTACCTCTTGCCGATGATGCGCCGCCTCCTCCAAGACAGCATGCGCTTCCTGATTCTGTACGGCGTCTTTCAAGGTACACCTTGTCTTCTACTCGTATGACAATATTGAGTCCTTCTATATCTGTGGTTTCTAGCGGGCTTGACGTGCGCGTACTACATTTTGCTCCAGGGCAGCGAAGGCTACGAGTCGTTCCCAGCGACCTTTGTCACAGTGTTTTTCGTTCTCTTTGGCCAAATCCAGACGGCGCCGATCGATGTACTGGGATGTTAAACTATCGCAAGGGCTAGAAACGCCTCCTCCGTAGGCGCTGAGCGACGAGCAGCCCGTCCTGTACGTCTTTGCGATGGGACTCCTCATGTTCCACATGGCGATTGCGATCGTCCTCCTCCTCAACGTGCTCATCGCGATGATGAACAACACGCTGGACGAGGGCCTCGAGAAGGCCAAGCTCGAGGCGCTGGCGAGCTACGCCAACTGCATCCTGCGCCTTGAGCTCAGCCTCGCGCCGACGGAGCGCAACGAGATGATCTACGTCATCAAGCCCAAGTTCCTCCACCACCACCAGTCGTGTTCGTCGACTGCCTTCTCGTCGCAGGGTGTTTAACTATGCGGTGTAGTGCTGCCGGACGACGTGGACGCGCCGGCGCGCCGCCTGAGCTTTCGCAGTGCCAACCTCCGCATGCACTCGCTGGCGACGGACGAGGCCAAGCCGCTGGTGGTGCCCCGGCCGACGCACCAGCCCTCGTCGGGCCGCCACACGGGCATCTTGAACCCGTCGTTCCGGCAGATCGTGCTCAAGTCGGACTACAAGGCTGGGTTTGAAGCGCCGGTCGACGCCCACCAGGAGTGGATGACCGAGATGCGCGGGGTTGTCAGCTCGATGAAGAAGGACCACGCGACCCAGATGGCGCAGCTCAAGGCGCAGCTCAACGACATTACGCGGCTCATCCAAGAGCTCGAGATGGCGCAGAACCCGCGCGCGGGACTCGGCAGCTCGTCCATGCAGTGGTAAACCTCAACTTCAACCTTCGGTTCTTTGATTTGGATACGTTTAAACAAGTTTGGCGCCTAAAACGCATGGTTGGACGCAACCGCTTTGCGTTAAAGTCCACGATTGGGCGCCGTGGCGTTGAGATTGCACCAACCAAATCCCATTTCGTTGGCAACCAAGAGCTAGATGGCCAAGGGCGGGAAGAAGAAGGGCGGGAAGCGCAAGCGCCACGCATGGGACGACGAGGACAAGCAGCCGGCGACGGCCGCCGAGCCCGTGCCCAAGAAGAAGTTCGACTCGATGTTCGCGCAGTGGAAGAAGACCAACGTCAACCGGCGCAACACGCAGCGCGACAAGGCGCTCACGTACGAGCAGGTCAAGGCGCAGCAGTACAACGAGCTGCGCAAGGCCACCAAGGGCCGCCGTGCCGACGACGAAGACGAAGATGACGAGCACGATGGCAGCGACCATGGCAGCGGCTCGGGCAGCGACGACAGCGCGTCCGAGGTCGACGAGGCCGTCGCGCCCACGCGCAAGAAGGCGTCGACGTTCCAGTCGTTCGTGTCGCTCTTCCACGCTGCGCCGGCGGCCATCTCGGACGACGAAGCGCAGGAAGAAGAAGAAGAAGAGGACGAGATGCTGGACGACGAGGATGAGGATGAAGACGATGAAGATGCAGACGACAATGAAGATGGCGAAGAGGACGACACCGCGCCCGTTGCCGACGAAGACGAAGAGGACGAGGAAGACGATGCGTCTGCGCCGAGCCAGGTCAACGACGACGACGAAGACAAGGACCCGTTCCGCGCGCGGTACCTCCTCAAGGAGCCGACCGAGAAGGAGTTTGCGGTACGACACACCCCACCTCTCCACAGGAGACTCAGTTCTTGGTTGCAGGCGATGCAGACGGCCAAGCCGGCGCCGTTCACGAAGCTCACGACGATGGACTCGCTCGAGACGCACGTGCGCAAGGGCTTCTACGAGGAGACGCCGGCGCACAGCCCGCAGCCTCTCTCGCACGTGCGCTCGCGCCTCTACGCGTCCTGGAAGCAGAAGAACCTCCTGACGCTCAACGTACGTCGGTGTCCAAGACTACTATGTATCTTATCGGATGCGAGTAGCCGCTACAGGAGCAGCTCAACGGCGCGCTGAGCAGCTACAAGGACCTCCTGTACTGCAACCAGACGGCCGAGACCCTGCCCGAGGTTTGCCCGCTTAGTCGTTCGAACAACCGCCACACACGCGTGTAGATCCGCAAGGTGGTCATGATGCATGTGGTCAACCACGTCATCAAGTCGCGCGACACGATCGCCCGCAACACGGAGCGTCTCGGGAAGAACGCGACGGCCGAGTACCGCGACCAAGGCTACTGCCGCCCCACGGTCCGTCATTTGTACCCGATGCAGAACGCTGATACATTGATAGATTCTCATCTTGGCTCCGCTGCGGTCGGCCGCGTACCGCCTCGTGCACCAGCTTCTGGCGCTCCTGCCCGACACGGTCACGACCGTGCTCAACAAGGACCGCTTCGAAGAGGACTTTGGTGTCGAGTACGGTCCTTTGCGTGTCGGCTACGAGAGCTCAATATACGCGGTGTAGAGAGCCAAGCGCGCCGGAAGGTACCGAGTGGCAAAAGATCTTTCAAGACGGCAACAACGACGACGCGTTCCAGCTCGGCGTCGCCTTCTCGCGCAAGTCGGTGCGCCTCTACGCCGAGTACCACCACGCCGACATCATCATTGCGTCGCCGCTGAGTCTCCGCAAGACGATCGGTGACGCAATCGTCGACGTCGCCCCCGGCGACAAGACGTCGGTCAAGTTGCCGGTCGACTACCTCTCGTCGATCGAAGTGTGCGTGCTCGGTACGCGATACCCGCGTTGAAACCCATTTCACCCCCCTCGTAGACTCGGCCAGCGTCTTTTTGATGCAAAACATGGAGCACGTCCGCGCGGTCCTCAACGCGGTCAACGTGGCGCCCAAGGAAGCCCCGGAAGCCGACTTTTCGCGGGTACGCTCGAGCGATGGAGGGCATTCTGTCTCAAAGCGACTTGGCTAGATTCGCGAGTGGAACCTCAACCACCAAGCGCACTTCTTCCGCCAAACGATCGTGTACGCGCATGCGCCGGACGCGCAGCTCAACAACGTGCTCTCGCGGTCCTGCCACAACTTTGCCGGCGCCGTCCGCCTCTTGCCCGTCTATGACGTCGACAGCGCGTCGACGCCCGCCATGTGCAACATTGTGCCGTCGATCAAGCAGATCTTCCAGCGCATCGACACGCCGTCGCAGGTCGGAAGCTGCCCGCTCAACAAGGAAGCCGACCTCCGGTTCGCCTACTTTTCCAAGCACATTGTGCAGCCGCTGCTCGACCACCCGACCAAGCACACGATGGTATGGGTTTTTGAGGTTGAGATTGAGGTTGGAGATGGCGCCTAGATCTTCGTGCCGTCGTACTTTGACTTTGTCCGCGTCCGCAACCTCTTTGCCGAGCACAAGAAGCTCATCAACGTGGTCGCCATCTCCGAGTACTCGACTGACGCGCAGATCTCCCGGTACGCAGTAGATCCCGCTGTGGTTTCACTAAATGTTGAGGCTAGCGCCCGTACGCATTTCTTCCACGGGCGCATCAACGTGTTTCTGATCTCGGAGCGCTTTCACTTTTACAAGCAGTACCGGGTACGCCTTCTTGTCGTCTGAGGATCGAACCGCCGACCAGTTGCGATTTTCTTTAGATCCGCGGTGTGCACCAAGTGTTTTGGTACGCGCCGCCGTCGCTCGGCCCGTTCTACGCCGAAGTGCTCAACGCGATGGGCGCGGCGGACGAGGCCGACGCCGAGAGTCTCAAGAGCGTCGTTCTCTTCAGCCCCTGGGACACGCTCCGCGTGCAGCAGATCGCAGGGTCCAAGCGCGCGGCCCGCATGACGCGGTCGGGCGGCGACACCAAGTCTATCTACATGTTTTGCTAGACATATAATATACACGCTTGCTCGACGTCCTATGCGATCAATAGGTATTATAATATTAGTATTTAGACAAACACCGAGTCGAGGACGGTGAAGGGGGTTGGCGTAGGGGTAGGGGTTGGCGTAGGGCCATGCGCGTTGCACTTCCACTTGCGCTCGGCGTCTTGAACCGTCGCGATGGTGTGGCAGCGCTTCTCCGTGCACAGGAACGGGATCGGCGGCGACTGTGGCACGGGCGTCGACGCGCGGCGAGCCAAATGCTGGCGCGTGCGCGCTGGTGGCGTCGTCGGAGGGTCCAAGCCTGAGGCGAATCGGGTCCGCGATGCCACCGTCAGCGTTCGTTGTGGTGACGTCAAACCGTCCACGGCGGACGTCGATCGGGTCCCGCGCGACGACGTTGACCGCGGAGCCTTGGAACGTCGTGGCGGTGACGTCGGGAGGTCCAAGGCTGATCGGGTCCGCGATGCTACCTTTCGGTTATGGCGTGGTGCGTCTGGGCGCTGCTTGGGTACCGAGAACGTCTGTGGGACCCATAGAAATGGCTCGCTTGCAGTCACTGGCCGGAACAGTCCAGGCATGCGGTGGGATCGGGGTGGATCGTCCGCCACCGGCGCGAGCTGCGCTTCTTGTTGGTCGTCATCATGGTCGTTGTCGTCATTGCTGTCGCCACCGTCAAAGAGGTCTGGCAACTCGTCTGGCGCAGACAATGGCGCAGGGTCCGGGAAGCGCGTGTTCTGGAATGCCGAAGCCGTCGACGTCGTGGGCAACGACGGGTGCTTGGCCAGCGACACGACTTGTGTCGGAGCAGGCGCCGTATGTTCTTGTGGGACTGCGAGCGTTGGCGTCGCGACCTCGATCGGTGCAGGTGTCGCCACTTGTAGTCGCTCCGTTCCGGGCGTCGGCACGTCAGGAACCGGTGGCTCTTCTGCTGCTTGCACATTGACGTCTGCAGTCTCGGTATCCAGGGCCGTCTCGGGGTTCGATCTCGTGCTCTCGACCGGCGAGGTGACGGCGCGAGGACTCTCGAAGAAGTCGTACCTACCACGTCGCATCAGCATTCCGAGCATAGCATCGGCAAGGACATGCGAAATCTCTAGAGAAGCGGTGAGAGCGAGCGTGATGCGACTGCCATTGACCAAGCTACGCTCCTCGCCGTCACCTACAGGCCGTCAACCGTCGCCGACAGGTGGAGCATGGACCGTACGCAGATATGTTCCGTTGACAAAGACGCTGTCGCCGGGCACCGCCGAGACCTTCACGGTGTCGCCACTTGGATCGAAGAAGACCCAGCGATCGGCACAGGCTGCGAGCTCGAGGCGCTCTTGCTCGGTCGCCAGCGTGAAGGCCTCAACAAAGAAGCAGCCACTAATCGTCAGCAAGGACGACCTACATGACGACCTGCGCATGGGCTGCAGGAGCCATGGACGTACCCGAGGAGGTAGCGCCGTAGCTGCAGGGTTGTCGCATCGTCGAGCGCGGCCGGCGGGAACGCGATCGGGTCCAAGTACAGGACGCGCATGGCCAGCGTCTGGCAACTTTGCAATTGGGTTGGGCGTTTCGGTGCAGGACCTCCTGCAGCTAATTTCACGCATATTAAGACTGATAATGGAGCTCTGTATATTGGAAACGATGTCGAGGTTGAAGTTTGGGGACAGAGCGTTTGGAGGACTGGTGCGAGGAGCCAAAGGTAGAGAACTGCAAACAGGACTCGCGCACTTGGAAGCAGACTACCCTCGCGTTGCTACGGTTGTACAGACGTGGTACAAGGCCGGTATAATTGTTCAAGTTGCGTGCGATTAGCTTGACATCGTGTACGGATAAGCAGCGCTATTTTTTGGAAGGGACGAATTGGAATGTTTATCCGGAAATCGGACCTGGCAGCCTCGCTATCAGGTCTCGCTTCATTAACTTCAGCTAGATACCTGGCTGGATACTTGGATAGATTATATTGTAGTATCGTCAGCATGAAATGTGCAGATGTTAGTTGTTGAATGTTAATCTTGGATGGAGGCCGACCCTGACTCGACCGACGAGGCTGTCTGGAGCTCTTGCAGGACGCGCGCCATGTCGCTCAGCTGGCTCTTGACCTGCTGCAGCTGTGCGGCCTGGTCCTTCTTGAGCGCTGATATCGACGCGCGCATGTCGGCCTGGAAGTCTTCGGTCGCCGACCCTTTTTGCTCGTACCCGGTCTTGTAGTCCGACTTGAGGACGACCTCGTGGAACGCCGGGTTCAAAATGCCCACGTGCGCGTCCATCTTCTTTGGCTTCTTGAGCGCCAGCAGCGGCTTGGCCTCGTCACGCCCGGTCTGCAGCGACCGGTCGAGGAGCACTGCATTCTCTACTGCAAGCTGCAAGCCCCGCTCAAAGCGCAGCTCAAGTACCTTTGGCCTGGAGGAACTTGGGCTTGATGACGTAGATCATCTCGGTGCGCTCGCGCGAGTCGAGGCTGAGCTCGAGGCGCAGGATGCAGTTGGCGTAGCTGGCCAGCGCCTCGAGCTTGGCCTTCTCAAGGCCCTCGACAAGCGTGTTGTTCATCATCGCGATGAGCACGTTGAGGAGAAGCACGATCGCAATCGCCATGTGGAACATGAGAAGACCCTTGGAGAAGATGGAGAGCACGGGCGACGTCGACGCGAGGTCCTATCCCCATATCAGTGGAAGAAGTATCAATGTATCGAGACATCAATCGGGCCGGTCTGGATCTGGCCAAAGAGCACAAAGTAGACAGTGATGAACGTGTGCAGGACCGACTCGTAGCCGTCGCTGCCTTGCAGCAGAATGTAGTACGCGCACGTCAAGCCGACTAGAGTCGTATGAGGTGCGATTGAAAAGTATCAAGTTGAAACCTTGAAAGACGCCGTAGAGGATCGAAAACCGGACGCTGTCGAGGAGGAGGCCGTGCATCATGGGCAGGAGGTACCCGGCGGTCGGGTGCACCTCGAGGTACTGCAGCGAGAGGATCCAGAGCGCGAGGCAGATCGTGCCCGACATGCAGAGCTGGTACTCGCGGACGACGACCGTCTCGGGGATGAAGCCGAGCTGGCACGGCACGTACACGAGCATGATGAGGAGGAAGACCATGATCTGGACGGCGTTGACGGCGTTCGACATGTACTTGCGCAGCCCGTAGCCCTGGAGCTCCTTGTACTCCCAGTAGAAGAAGTAGAAGGCCGTGCACCACAGCACCATGTTGTTGAGCGCCTGGTACTGGTCCTTGACACTACACTCCGAAGTCAGATTTCAGATTTCGATGAATGAGCCGTACTTGGTCATTTCAGCGTTGGTGCGGGACCCGAGGTAGAGGAGGAAGGGGAGGCAGAGGACGCCGGTCCAAAAGATCGAGTGGAAGAAGAGCACCTTCTTCGCATACGCTTTCCAGACCGGCGCGTCCGGCATGATGTTCTCGTCGCCCCAGTTGAGCTCGACGTAAGCGCCGCGCCAGAGGAACGCGCAGAGGCCGCTGTACGTGCCGTCGCGACACCAGCCCGCGAGGCTCCAGAGCCGCTTGGGCTTCAAGCCAAAGTGGACAATCACGTACGCCACAAAGACGTACACGACAAACACAAACCAGATCTAGTCACGATTTTCAGAACCAGATCTGTCTTCAGAAACGTACCATGAACGACATCTGGATGCCTTCGTCGTCGACGCGGTCGACGTGTGTCTTGTTGTTGCCTCTCGGGCGCTTGGTGACGCGCGCCTGCGTCCAGAAGGCCAGGGAAAAAATGTTGGTCGTGTTGGGGTCTTCGTCGAGCTGGTAGATGCAGCCCGAGATGACCGACGACGCCAGCAGCAGAATGTACATGAGACACTGCTCCACGTACATGCGCTGGGCAAAGAACTAGAGACAAATTGTCTTATATAGTACAAATGCGGACAAGGTACCTCCCACTTGAGCTGGAGCACGCGGCGCATGATTATGTGCTGGAGGCAGTGGGCCTTGACCGCATTCTGCGCGTCGTCTTCGGCTTCGAGCGTCAGAATCGAGTAGAGCGCGCTCTTCTCGACCGACTCCTTGCCATAGATACGATCCAACTAGATGTATCGAGAATTGAAACATTGAAGAATTGAAACATTGAAACATTGAAACCAACGTACGTCGCGAAAGCTGAGGCTGTACCGCCCTTCTTCGACCAAGAAGGCGTCGAGGATCTCCTTGCCGAGCTTGGGGTCGCACTCGATCGCGCCTGCATCGGATGTGTCTATCGTTTGACAGACAATATTGTACTACCTTTGAACATGACTTCGTTGAAGCGCAGGTCCGTCGCGTTCTTCTCCAGAATGAGCTTGACAAAGGCGGCCTTGTCCTTGGCGACCATGAACGCCGTCTTGCCGCCCTTGTCCGTGCCGCCGATCTGCGCGTTGTTCTCAAGGAGCAGCTGCACCAGCGCGTCGTGGCCAAAGGAGGCTGCGTACATGAGCGCCGACCAGCCGTCCTGCAGGTTGTATGGCATGTTATAACACTCGTTTTCGCAGTCCGTCAACACACCGGGTCGCGCTCGTCGATCTTGGCCGGGGTGTCGAGGATGCAGGCGCGCGCGGCCTCGACGTTGCCTACATCACTCTAAATTCGAGTCGAAAATAGTGTCGTACCGCTGCGGGCGTGGTACAGGAGCGGGTACCGTTCGCGGAAGGCGCGCTCCTTGCCAATGTACAAGATGCACGTGCGGTGGCTCGCCTCGAGCGCAAAGGACAGCGCCGTCTTGCCTTCCTACGCAGCAACCGTGTTCAACTAGACCAAGTGGTCATGACGGGCGTACGGCTTGCGCCGCGTCAATGTCGGCGTTGCGGTCCAAGAGGAGCTTGACGAGCTCGGGGTGGCCGTTGGCCGCGGCGAGCATCAATAGTGTCGTGCCCGTCTAGCAGAGCCGGTGACGCCGCAACCCTAACCGCACAAGGTACCTCGTCGGTTTGTTCGAGGTCCAGCGCCGGGTTTTCCTGCAAAATCTCTTCGAACGTCTCGAGGTCGCCGTCGCGGACGATGCGGCAGAGGACTTCGCGCTCGAGGAGGCGGCGGCAGTCGCCCGACGCCATCGACAGCGCCGACGCGCCGTTCTAGATGCATTCATTCCTAGCTCTTTTCGAAATATGGCCTACATTGTCGAGCACAGTGATCGCGGCGTTGTGCTGGAGCAGGTAGGACACGATGTGCGTGTGGCCTTCGGCCGCCGCCAGCATGAGCGCTGTGCGCCCCGTCTACGTCAAACGACTATGAGACAATCGCGAATCACACGCGATATAGTGTACGTCGTCCTTGTCGTTGAGGGCCTTGCGCGTGCGCACAAGCTGGTCGAGCTGCCCGGATTTGCTAAAGTACAGGGCCGGGTGTTGCTGCCGCAGGAGCAGCAAGGCCTTGCAGGCCGAGTGGCCCTTCTCGGTCGCGAGCTGCAGCGCCGTCTTGTTGTCCTAAATCAGACTGAGACGAGGCTCTCGAGAGACGTGTACGTGGTTGGTCGCTGTAAAGTCGGCGTCCGCGTCCAGCAGCTGCTGCAAGACAGTCACGTTGCCGACGGCAGCCGCGATCATGACGGCCGTCATCCCGCCCTGTATCTCATATAGTGTCAGAGGAAGAGAGATTAGGGTACCGAGTTGAGGCGCGCCTCCAGTGGCGTCTCGGACTGCGCGAGGAGGACGCGGACGATGTCCGTGTTGCCCTTCTTGGTCGCAAGCAAGAGGGCTGTCGACCCATTCTACACCACGACTTGCAGGTCGAACGAGACAACGGTAGAACGAACCGACGTGACGGCAGTGACGGCGGCGTTCGCTGCTAGCAGCTGCTTGACACAGTCGACGTGGCCATAGTCGCAGGCGCACAGCAGTGGCGTCCAGCCATCGTCGTTGGGCAAGTCGACATCGGCGTCATACTTCAAGAGCGCGCGAAGCGGCTCGATGTGGCCGTTGATGGCCGCGATGAGCAGCGGCGTGTTGCGTTCCTACAGCGTCCTCTGTCGTTCCTGGTGTCGTGGAGAAGAGTGTAGTACGTAGTTGTAGACGTTGGTGCGGGCGTGCGCGCCGAGCAGCATCTGCACGATCTTGGTGTTGCCGTTCTCGGTCGCATAATGCAAGGCCGTGTTGCCCGCCTACGTAGCGTATCATTGAGCTTCTGGGGCGTGCAAAGGGTCGAGGAACAGACGTCGTCGGCGACTTCGGTGCTCGCGTGGTGCTCGAGAAGCACCTTGGCGATGAGCGCGAGGCCGTGGAAGCAGGCGTAGATGAGCGCCGTCTTGCCATCCTACACAGTCGAGCATCGTATCGAAGCGTCAACGTGATGGACAGCGTACGGCGAACGTCGACTCGAGGTTGGCGTTGTGGCTCGCGAGCAGCGCGACCGTGTCGATGCAGCCCTTCTGCGTCGCCCGCAGCAACGCCGACGGCCGATCCTAGCCATGAAGCGTCGGCGAAAAGGCGAGTGGCCGGGAGAGCGCACCTCACGCTGGGCCTCGGGCGACGCGCCGTGGGCGAGGAGGACGCGGACAACGTCGTGGTGGCCGTGGGCAGCCGCGTTGACCATGGCCGTGTCGCCCGCCTATGCATCGCCTCAGCGTTAGCGCGGACCAACCATCGTACCTCGTCGACTTGCTCGGCGTCCTCACCGAGCGCAAGGCGGCGCTTGACCTCGAGCACGTTCCCACGCCGGGCGTCGCGGAGGAGGCTGCTCATTTGCTGTCAAATTCGACGATCCAGTGGAAGCGCCAAGTGGATGCTTGCAATGTGAAAAATGCATTTTTCACACCGTCAGTATGTTTTCCTATCCGACACCTCGAAATTTACCTTGAAGTGAGTATGTCGCGTGCAAAACAGCGTGAAAATCGAGTGGGAAATCAATCTGAGAAAGGGCGGTCGGCGATCGAATTCATTGAAATCTGCGATCGTTTGTAGCCGTTCGTGCAACCAGAGCCGTGTGATAGATGGCCACCACTGACGGTCGGAAGATCGCCACGCGCCAGCACCGTGGCAGTACGGCAGGCAGAGTAGAACGGCGGCTTCTCCATGTTTTTTCGCAATTTTGGCCGAGGAACGTGGGAGGATCCCGAGGAAGCCTTTGAACAGCGATGGCCACGCGGTCTGTCTATTTCTAAGGCTTGAATCTCAGTCCTCGGAAATTTGAGCAGCGGCAAGCACACCGTGGGCCTCTGGAGAGAAGAAGCCGGCGCCATGGCATGCAAGCCGCCATCTCGTCCGTCCTTGTCGCAAGACTGCCAGCGTATCTAGAAGCTTGCAGAAGCGATGCTAAAAAGTTTTAGGGCGCCAACTTCAAGCCGCCGAGAGACGAAGAAGACGGAAGCCAATTCGCTTTGGCAGCGAAGACGTGTTGGCGCAAGCTACTCTGTTCCTGGTTGCACTGAGGACGGCGTCGTTCTTGCTGGTGCAACGTTGCAGTTTGTGTCGTTTAGGAAAAGCCAGGTACGATATTCGCTTAGGAAAACACTGTAATGGCTTTGCATATCCGGATGCTGTTCGGATACGATATACGGATACGAGAGGCCCTTGATCCATTTTTCAAGGCGCGAAACCACGGGAGCATGGAGAGCGATGGCGGGAGCGACTACGGCGGCGACCGGAAGCGGCGCCGGCTCCGGCGGGGCGATGCGAGCGACGAAGACGACGAGGACGTCGACATGACGGGCGAGATGGCGGAAGAGCAGGACCCGGATGAGGAAGCCATGGACGAGGTCGACGAGGAAGCGCGGCTCGCGGAGGCCGAGGCCATCTACTTCTCGGAGAACGAGGAGGATGAGGGCGAAGACCTCATCGAGAATGCGGAAGGCGACTACAAGCGCATGGACGCGCTCGACTCGTACGACCTGGGCCAGCTCGACGACCGGCGCTACGACGCCATTGACGACGACACACGGCGACGCGTCGAGGAAGAGCTCGACCGGCGCGATGCGCGCGAAGGTCGTCTGCAGATGGCGCTCATCGAAGACCAAGAAACCGAGCGCGACGATGCCCATCGTCGGCGCATACAGACCTCGCGCCGCCCGGACGACGGTCAAGAGGCGGACGCCGTGCCGGTGCGTCCATCCGATGTGCTCTTCCACGCTCATGTTGTATTCCTGTAGGAAGAAGAGCTCATCAACTTGGAGCACTTTGACGTGCCATTGCGCGAGTTCATCGCGGCCGAGCGGCCGCGCAACGAGATCAAGCGCCGCTTCGTATGTCGAGCGTCGACTTCTGATGAAAAGCTCATGCGTCTTGCGCGTAGCGCCACTTTCTCAATACGTTTACGCAAAACAACACGCTCGTGTACCACCAGAAGATCGTTAAGATGGCCCAGCGCAACGAGCAAGTACGCGGCCTCTTCGACTTCGCAACTTGACTCTCATGGCGACTAGAGCTTGGAGATCGAAATCGGCGACATCATCCAGAGCATGTCGATCTTTGCTGCGTGGATCGTCGAAGCGCCCAAAGACATGCTCACGATCCTCGACGAAGTCGCCCGCGAGGTACGACTGCCATGGAACCATCGTCCGCTTACGATGTGCTAGGTCGTCATGGCGCTCTTCCCGTACTACGACACGATCCACAAGGAAATTTACGTCCGGATCCTCGACCTCCCGGGCACCGAGAAGATTCGCGACCTCCGCACGGCGCATCTCAACTTTTTGATCAAGGTCTCGGGCGTCGTGACGCGCCGGACGTCGGTGTTTCCGCAGCTGCAGCTCGTCAAGTTCAACTGCAACGCGTGCGGCGCGGTCTTGGGCCCGTTCACGCAGAGCAAGTCGTCGGAGCTCTCGCTCAACGCGTGCCCCGAGTGCCAGAGCAAGGGCCCGTTCTCGCTCAACACGGCGCAGACCGTGTACCGCAACTACCAAAAGCTCACGCTGCAGGAGAGCCCCGGGAGCGTCCCGCCGGGGCGCGTGCCCCGCTCCAAGGAGGTCATTCTCCTCGCCGATCTCATCGACCGTGCGCGGCCGGGCGACGAAGTGGCGATCACGGGCGTCTACACGAACGCGCCCGACCCGAACCAAGGGATTCGAGATGGGTTTCCCGTCTTTCGCACGGTCATCGAAGCCAACCACATTGAGCGCACCGCCGAAGGGTACGACGAAAAGGCGGTATTTGTGTATGTATCGTGCATGTAGCAACACGACAGTGCTCACAGTCGAGGACAAGAAGCGCATTCTGGCGCTGAGCAAGCGCCCCGACATTGGCCCGCTCCTCATCCGGTCGATCGCGCCGTCCATTTACGGTCACGAGCACGTCAAGACGGCGCTGTGCCTCTCGCTCTTTGGCGGGAAACCCAAATTCATCAAGAATTCGCGCGTACGACCACCCGTCTTGGTCGTCCAAAGTTAATTTAGACGCGGAATTAGGTCCGTGGCGACCTCAACATCCTCATGGTCGGCGACCCGGGCACGGCAAAGTCGCAATTTCTCAAGTTTGTCAACACGACCGCGCCCCGGGCCGTGTACACGACGGGCAAAGGCGCGTCCGCCGTCGGTTTGACCGCCGGTGTCTCCAAGGACCCCATCACAAAAGAGTGGGTCCTGCAAGGTACATGGCTTGCTCCGTCGGCTGCCAGATGACAAGATATATGCTAGGCGGTGCGCTCGTGCTGGCCGACAAGGGCGTGTGTCTCATCGATGAGTTTGACAAGATGAACGAGCAAGATCGCACGAGCATCCACGAAGCGATGGAGCAGCAGACGATTTCTGTCTCGAAAGCCGGGATTGTCACGTCGCTCCAAGCCCGCTGCGCCGTCATTGCTGCTGCCAACCCGATCGGCGGCCGGTACAATGCGACGCGGACGTTTGCCGAAAACGTGGAGCTCACGGACCCGATTCTACAGCGCTTTGACGTGCTCTGCGTCGTGCAGGTTCGTTCTCTACCTATTCTACGCTAACTCAGCGGACGCAACCCCGTATGTAGGACAAGGTCGACCCGGTCCAAGACGAACGACTCGCCAACTTTGTGATTTCGAGCCACATTAAGTCCAACCAGCCTGTCCAAGACCCGACCGAGGACCAACACCATGGCGAAGACGACGAGGACGATGGGCCGAGCCAGCGCAAGCGCAAGGAAACCCCGTCGCTCTCGACGACGACGGACGAAGAGACGCTCGACCAAGAAATGCTGCGCAAGTACATTGTGTACGCGCGGTCTTATGTCAACCCGACCGTGAGTTCGAGCCTCGACACGCGCAAGATCGAGACCTTTTACGCGCAATTGCGCAAGGCGTCGCAGCACACGGGCGCGGTGCCGATCGCAGTCCGGCACATTGAGTCGCTCTTCCGCATGTCCGAAGCGTACGCGCGCATGCATCTGCGCGACGCAGTCTGCAACGACGACCTCGACATGGCGATCCGCGTCATGACCAACTCGCTCTGCGAAGCGCAAAAGTTTACGTTCAAGCGGCAGTGGCGCAAGCTCTTTGCGTCGTACCTGAGCTACCAGCAAGACAACACCGTCGTGCTCATGCACATTGTCCAAGAGCTCTTCCAGGCCGCGTACACGTACCACCAGGTACGCTCTTGATACTCACTTGATACGCACTTGATACAAACCTATGGGGTAGCTGCGGCAAGAGAAGCGCAAGGCGCCGACGGGCCTCACGTCACTCCAAGTCACGTGCGCCGACGTGCTCGCCAAAGCCCGCGCGCTCGGCATCGTGGACCTCAGTGCGTTCTACGACTCGCCAGCATTTACGCAGAACGGGTACACGTACGACCGCGAGACGCAGGTGATTGTCAAGACGTTTTAATACAGTACCTCCCTTTTATATAGTCTATTCTGTGTATGATCGTCGAGGTCATTGCGTCTAGTCGATTTCTTTGTTATAGAAAGGAGGACTAGGAAATCCAGAACAATGGCGTCATGTTTTTAAATGCCTGTGTGAATTGTATGCAATAATATTGTTTTCGATAAATGATTTGATTGGTTCTTTAAGTTTGAATTTGGACCAATCCTGTGCGATGCAATGCGCGCGCCGGCCGCGAGAGGACCGTTGCGATCGCAAATCGCGTTGGAAAATGAAATCGCTCAAGCGACGTCCATCGATAGAAGACACTTTGGGGAGTCGAACGCTGCATCGCCAGTGCTCGTGCGAGGAGTAGAGCTCGAGGTAGGCGTCGACGCGTTTTAGTTATGGCACATGCCATTAATACCCATATTTAGCCATATTTATTTCGATTCGGCTACCGACATTGAACTTTGGCGACGAGCTAGTTGTCCGCGGCGTCGGACCATCCCGCCATGATGTCATCGGTCGAGGGTTTAGCCATCGACGCCTCGAGCGACATCACCATTTTGCGATCTTCGGCGCGCTGCCATTGCTGCTGGCGGTGCAAAGAGAGGTCGCGCAACGTGGCGTGGCCTGGTTGAGGCACCTTGATGACGACGCGTCGACGGTCCATCTCGAGCCGATCGGCGTTGGCAGCGATAATGGCGCGCAAAACACGGCAGGTGAAACGCAAAGCGTTGATCCTGGTCTCGGTGCCGTCGGCCAAGAAGGTAGCAAACGCTGCGCAGTAATGGCAGTGGCGCCGGTCGACCGGAATGTCATCGTAGACAAAGTCGGGCAAGTCAGGGATCGGGTTTAGCGCGCCGTTCGCAACGAGTGTGTCCCGACAAGTGGCCGCCAGGTGCACGAAAATGTTGCGGTGGGGAGCGGCAAGCACAGCCTGTAGCTGCTTCAAAGCGCGGTACAAATGCGCCCGGCGGGCGTAAAGTGTCGCCGGAAGAGCTGCCGCCCACGACGTCAAGAACCCTGCCACGGCCTCGGGGGCGACGATCGCGAGAAGCTTGGTCACGCTCACAGCCACTTCGGTGCGCGCATCCATTCGAGAGGTGCTGGCGACCAGCGCCTGGGCGACGCCCAGCGCCCACCCAGCGACAACACCGTGCATGGACGGCGCAAGCACTTGCCCCTGAACGAGCTCGTAGACGACATGGACAGTCCTCGAGTCGCCGAGTGCGTAGGCGGCGTCGAGGAGGCGTCGACTGCAGCGATGGGCCGTGCACAAAAAGATGTCGCGGAGGTTCTTGGGCTCCACGTAACAGCGATAGTGTTGTCCGTCCCCGTCGCTGCGCGTGGCGGCAGTGTCGAGGGCCGACACGAGAGCATCCACGTACACCTTTACTGGCAGCGCTACCTCGAACGTGAGTGCTTGCAGCACGGCCGCCGGCACGAATCGAAGCGTATCGACGTCGGATTTGCAGTGCCAAAGCAACGTGGCGACGCGGTTTTGGCGCACGTAGAGGTAGTCGTCGATGATCGCAATGACCGACGCCGGTACGCGGCCATCGAGCCAGTTGGTCGGCAAATGCGCCGCGTCATTGGCCGTGAGCCCGTCCAGGTACGCGTCCAAGAGGATGTAGCTTGCGCCAATGTCGCTCGGAACGTAGCGTTCGCCGGCCAGACGTGTGCAGATGACATCAAAACACACTTTGATGAATTCGCCGACGAACGGGACGTCGAGGGCAGCGCAGAGCGGCTCGTCGGCGACACCGGCGAAGCTTGCGAGAAGCCGGCACGCTTTCGGCGCGTCGATCAGGTTGGTGCACTCCACCCAGCGAGCCACGAGCCGCGCGACGGCACCACCGAGTCGGCACCATCCCAGTGTCACCAAGCAGGTTCGCACGAGCTCCGCGAGCGTCGTCAGAGATGGCGGCGAGTCGAACTGGAGCGCGGACCCGAGGACATCCGAGACAAAGATCTCGATGAGATCAACATCGCCAAACGCCAAGAGCCGATGACACAGATGCGGCAAAAAGGCCGGCAATCTTCGCTTCCAGAGAGCTGGAAGATGGCCAACGAGCCGAGAAGGAGGTCGCGGACGCTACCGAGACCGAGATGCCAAGTCGAGCTGGGCTCAGCGCTCAGCATCGCCGCGGCCAAGCCGACAATGCCGGCGCGGTACTGCGTCGGCCAAAACAGCAGCGCGACCTTCGGTTGGTAGCGTGATTCGCTCTCGCCGCTGAGGAAGCGATGGACGCGCTTGCCGACGAGACTCGCGACGACCGCGTCGGGGATCATACACGACGGGTGCGGGCGGCAGGTGTTGACGACTGCGTCGACTTCAACGAGAGCGACGTCGAAGCGCCGCGTGGCCAAAAGCACGTCGAGGATGGCGGCGTCGGCGGGGCAAAGCGCCTCAAACGCGAGGACCGGAGCCGTGAGGACGTGCGCGATGCGTTGGTCCTGGAGCATTGGCATCGACGCAATGCGCGTCAGCTCGTGTAGCATGGCGTCTCGGCTCGACAGCAAAATCGCACGCGTTCTGGGATGCCGGCGCACAATGTCAAACACAAGCATGTGTCGGGTACCGGCCGTGATGGGCGCCGACGCCAACACCGCGCCGAGCGGTACAACGACGTAGCGCACCTCTGACGTTGGCTCCAACGTCGTTGTCGTCGCGCCGAGCGTCCACGCTAGCGACCCACCAGTGTACGCCGACGGCAGCACGACGAGAAGCGTGCCAATGGCCCCTAGCGTCATCGGCGTCAAGTCGGTGCTGGCGCCGGCGCAAGCGACACTGAAATGAGACTCGATGACGTCCAAGGTCATGGCGGGCGAGGCCTGGAGGCAGAGCGCGGTCGCTGCTTTGCTGAGGATCTCGGACAGCACGGTCGACCACGCGGGCACGTTGGCGATGGAGAAGGGAGCGCGTCCCTCGACCAGTGTTACCGCAGGCGTGGCGTCGCACGGAAGCGTGCCCATGTACACGTGCCGGTTGGGGCGGCGTAGCGGCCACAGCGCGGCTTCGTACGCTTCGATGGTCATGACGATCGATGTCTTGTGCTCCACCCGAGGAATTTGGAAATGCCGACTTTGTTTCAAAGTATCGACGGCTCTTTATCCGGATAATTGAAGGATTTGCGTCCCCCATTCGCTCGTCTTCACTTCTTTATATACAAGATTCAAGATGTCAAGTCGTCCGGATAAACGGTTCTGTGCTCACTTCGTGCGCATGGCCAGTCGGGCGCCTGCGCAACACTTGTGAATGCGCTCGCGCATGTCGCTGCAGTGGCCTCGCGCCATGCTCGTCACTGCGCTTCCCTAAGCTCGTTACACGATGGGCGCAGCCTACTGCCTACTGTTCGCACGAGCACTCGTGACGGTTCTGTGAGCCATATCCTGGCAGGCTGCCACGTCAGCATCCATAGACTAAGTTCTCATATACATAGATTCTCTGTGTCAAAGGCGAGTTGCTGGCTAGCGAGAGCCAAAGTGCGCGCGGTTGATCTTCTCGGGCAGCAGCTGCGTCATCTCGAGCGAGATCGCGCGCTCGGCCTGGAAGCACGACGCCGACGCGGTGAGCGCCACGACGCTTTCGTGCAGGCGCAAGCTATAGCCAAACGAGTCCTCAGTCGCCATTCATTCCATCCTCGTGACTACCTCTCTGACCACGCCTGGACGGTCGCTGCAGCATCGAGAAACTGGAGTTTGCCGTAGAGTCGCGCCAAGTAGAAGACGCCGGTGAAGAACGGGAGAAGGTCCTCGTCGCTGCTGAGGTGCGTCGGGCGACGCAACGGGCGCGGCAACGGCACGTCGATCTCGCTGCGGGCGTCCGTACCTTGTTGGAAGTAGTAGAGCTGCAGAAACCGCGTGTAGCACCGGATCCCGTCGTGGCCGTAGCTCTATCCACCAATCCATTGGATACCTGGATAGATAAAAGATAAATGGATCGATGGATACGTTGGTTTGCGCGTAGGCTTTCGAGAGGTGCAAGCACTTGAGATCGTGGAGCGCGCCGTAGACGTCGGCGGCTTCAAAGAGCAGCTCTTGGACGAGGTACCCGAACGCGTTGCGGTTGAGGTCGACCGCGTCCGCGCCGTCGGGGTGGAAGAGGAGCGGCGTGAGGTAGCTCAGGCGCCGCGTGAGCATGGCCATCTGCCGCTTCCGGTCGGGCTCGTACGGCAAGAGCCGGGCGTACGCGCAGCTTTGCAGCTGCAGGACCCGAATGTGATCGGTCACGTGGCCGTCCAAGACAAAGACGTCCTACGCTCGATGGTGTTGGGTCGTCCGTAAGGACCGGGTTACGCGTACCTTGGCAGCATCGAGGCAGGCCATCGCTCGCCTGAAGAGCGGGCGGGCGTCGTCCAATGACGTGATTGGCGACGCGAGCGGCCAGAGGTCATTCGCACTCGCTGGGTGCGGCAGACTCGGGAAGAGTGGCGTCGGCGGCGGTGAGGGCTCGTTCGGCGGACGTTGGAGGACGTTCATGTAGATTTTGGCTTCAACGAGCGCGATGCGGCCTCGGACATCGTCGTCGACGTTGGTTGGCGTCACGTGCTTGCAGGCCAAGACACATTCGATGGCCTACAAGTCATATAGTATCAAGTTGATAGAAAGAAAGCCGAGTACGGTCGCGGCGGCGTGCGTGGTCGTGTAAAACGTGGCGAGGCCGAGACAATTCTTGACCCAGTCGGGCGGAAGCTCGTCGGTGAGCGGCCCAGCCGCTTGCAGCTGGCGGCGAAGCGTCTGCTGACAAAAGTGCGCCGACGCCGCCGCGTCACCGACGTGGCCATACACCTGCGCGAGGTAGAACATGGTGTGCGTGTGCGCCGACCCGAGCAGCATGTCCGTGTCGGCGTCGTTCGCGCAGAGCGCGTCGGCCGTCGTCAAGTAGCTCAGCGCCTTTGCGTGCTGTGAGCGATGGCACCACAAAATACCGAGCTGGTTGAGCAGCTCTACCCTGTCCGCTTAGCATGCTACGCGTGATGCAAAGAATGTACCGACGACATCGACGAGGTCGACGTTGATGTTGGCGGGTACGAGATGCGACGGCGACGGCAGCGCAGTGGGCACCGTCGACGCCGCAGCGTCCGGCGCGAGGCCTGCTACATACGCGAGCAGCGGTGCGCTCGCCGGCAGCACCGCGAGCGCCTTCTCCAAGCACGGCTGCGCTTCGTGGGGCTCTTCGACGGCCATCGCAATCTGCCCGAGCAGCGAGAGCCGCAGCAGTTGGTCCTGCGGCGTCTGCGCCGTGGCCGCGAGGAGCTGCGTGCGCGCCTCGTAGAGGTGCTCGTACGGCTGGTGGGCGTCGACGGCCCCGGCGGCCATGAGCCGCTTCGCCTCCGCGAGTACGTCCTTCATGGCTCCAAGCGGCGCGGAAAGATCGCGATGGCGTGTCCCGTACCTTTTTTCTCGGCCAATCAAACGCCAGCGGATTATTAACCCGACCAAGACCCGTCGCTACACCGCCCGACCTTTCTATGCTCAGCACTGGATGGCGAATACCAAAATTATGCACGCGGCGACGGGGTTCGAAGCGGTGGCCGCCGAGGCACGCTTTGAACCTGGTCGCTTGGCTGCTTCAACCAGACTGCATCGTCGTACTATCGGACCAGTGTGTATCATAGGGTGTCGGTGCACGCCAGCCAGATGGAGAACGACAAAAGTCGGAGGGAACCAGCGTAGCTCGTCGTAACTCGGACGCTGGCGAGGCGTCGTGGGCGGCAGCGTCAGCGAGGGTGCGCTGTGACGTCCGAGGCGGGCCTGCTTCAAGCCGCTGGAGATTGCCATCAATGAATCATCGTCGCCCTGTCTCGGAATTCGACGGATGTGGGACGACCCACGTGGCGCGGCAAGTCACGCCGCCGCGGCCACGCACCGCGACGCCATCCTAATCTCTCGCGAGCCTTTGACGAGCTCCTGCAAACGGCATCTCGTAGCCACGAGTCGTCGGTTGGACTAGGTATACGATGGTGTCGGAGCCGGACGTGGCACGGGCCAGGGGCGTGCGTCACAACCGCCATGACTCGCATCAAGCTGACGCGTCGGTTCGTTTCGATCGTGTCCGCGGATGACCACCGTCTAGCATGTGTCACCGCCTCTGTCTCTTCCGTCGTGTCGGTCCTCGGTCGACCCGACCATGGCGCGATGCTCCAAGTCGACCATCGCCACGCCCCTACGCCCGCGGTCCAGTATAAGATCTACTAAGCTTAGAGGCACAGCACGCAAAGCGCCAGGTGCGCGCTGGCCTTGGCCGCCACTTTGCCCTTTCCCTGTCGACTTTGCACTTGGTCACGCCGTGTCGCAGCGCGTGGATGTACACACCGCACCCGCTGTCACAAACCAGAGACGCTTTTCGGTCCAGAAAATAGAAGCCCGCCGACTGGCCTCATGCTGCGAAGCTGCTGAGTCGTCGTATTTCCGTATTCACCATGCCGGCCGTGAACCTCCGCGCGACGATCCAGTACAAGCCGCCGGCCAACACGACGGTCCAGGCCGCGCTCGACACGTTCCGGTCGCCGCAGTGGGTCGGCTACATGCTGCGCCACATTGTGCCCTTCCTCAAAGCGTCGAGCGGCGCGAAGCTCCACGTCCTCGCCGACCTGCCCAAGCTCGATCGCTGCGACAGCGACTGCGTCATCTGCATGGGCGCCATGGACGACGGCGCGATCGAGCTGCCGTGCGGCCACCACTTCCACACCAACTGCATCGACGCGTGGCTGCGCCTCCGCAACACGTGCCCCACGTGCCGGTACCAGTTTGAAAAGCAAGTCTCTGGCACGTATGCGATCCGCAGCATCAACACGGCGCTCTGCCTCGACGGCGTGCGGTCCGCCGACGTCGACGACGTCCTCGGCCGGTCGCTCGACGGCTCGGCGCTCAGTGCCATTGTGCACGTGACCATGGTCCCGGCGGCGACGCTGCCGCCCATGGAGCGCTACCCGTGCGTCATGAACGCAGCCATTGTCCGCGGCCCCGCGCCGACAACCAACGCCGTGCGGTCACCGTCGGCGAAGCGCAGTCGCCCCCACGAAGCGACGCCGCCCGTGCCCAAGCACACTAAGTTATGTTAAAGTTATTCGATAGACGTTTGTAATATAGTAGAAATGATGATGCTTGTTGTCTTCGACCGTCCGCGCTCATTTTGGTCCGCGCTCGCTGGTTCTGGAGACAGGAGCTGATCGCAGCTTGCAGAGTAGCGAGCGACCGCCGTCTCTACAAGCCTTGCACGCGACACGAAGGCGTCTCTGCGATCGCCAGCAAGACCACATCCGCGTGCTGCGCAGCGGTCGCTGCGACAGCATCGCTTGCGTCCGCCCGTGCCAGCTCCGCGACAGAAACGGGCTCCGACCTCACGCGTCTCTTGTCCAGCCACGCCCGTCCTTATACTGAACCCTTGGTCGTCGTTCGGGTGCGGCGTCATGTCCTCTTCGCCTTGGAGGCGGCAAGACTAAAGGCAACTAAGATCCGACTAAGCTCTTCCTCTGCGCCACCTCCTTGCTACATCGTACGCCGTGTAAACCAGTAGCTTGACGACCACGAGTGCTGCCGCTCCCATTCTTCTTCTTCACTGCATCGTCCCAGCGGCGCCTGTCTGCGAAACACTGTTTTCGCCACTGTTTCGATCGTGATACAGTGTGTCGGTACCTGTGGTTAAACGTGGCAGATGCCAAAAATACACGATTTCCGTGCGCACACTAATTGCGGCGCTGCTGGAGCCAACCAGCGGCGATTGGTCGTGACGATTAGACGCTTCAACACGGAATTTCGCAAGATGGCTCCTCGGCGCAGCAAGAAGGGCAAGGCCAAGAAGACCGACGTGTACGAGCACGACGACGACGAGGCCAATGAGGCCCGCGAGGCCGCGCGCATGGAGATCGACGGCGTCTACGAGTACGAGGCGCCGGCCAAGATCGCCCGCGACGACGACTCGGAGATCGATGAGGACGGCGCGTTCGACTCGGAGGACGACGCGACCTTTGGCTCGTTCTTTAGCGGCGGCAAGACGACGACGTCTAGCAAGAAGAAGGCCGCGGGAAAGAAGGCCTCGGGCAAGAAGGCGGCCGACAGCGACGACGAGGCCACGGCCAGCAACGACGAAGACGACGACGACGAGGCCGGCGGCGACTTGCTCTCGGACATGCTAGGCACGGCGCCGGCGGCGCGCCTGCCCACGGCGGACGACGAGGATGAGGACGAGGATGACGAGGATGACGACGATGATGAGACCAAGCACGCGTCGCTCATGTCGATGGTCGATGCGATGGCCAAGGGCCCGAAGCGCAAGATCGCGCACGCCGAGATGACGGAAGACGTGGCGCCGTCTGCGTTCAGCAAGAAGATTGGCGGCGCCGAGCTCACACTGGCGTCGCTCATGGCGTCGTCGATGCCGTCGCTGCCCGGCGACGAGGACGACGAGGACGACGATACCAAGGACGAGGTCATGGCGTCGGGCTCGGCGGCGGCGCTCAAGCGGCAGTTTGCGCAGCTCGAGGCCGACGACAGCAAGCTCTCTGCGCCGCTAGCGCCGGTTCTTGATGCCCGCGCGTCGCGCAAGGTCGCGTACGACGCCAAGAAGAAGGACCTCGACGTGTTCGTGCCGGTCGTCCAGCGCAACCGCCAGAAGGAGACGCTCGACTTTCGTATGCAGGGCAGCGCGCCCGCGCCCAACATCACGGTGGCCAGTCTCACGACCAAGTTCAAGCCCGAGAAGCCGCTCGAGAACGACGTGGCGGCGCTCTTGGCGACGTCCGGGTGGTCGGACAAGGCGGCGGCGGCCGACGAAGCCGCTGCGCTCGAGATGAACGCGCTCTCGACGGAGGAGGTCCAGGCGCGCCAGAAGGAGCTCGCCAAGATGCGCGTGCTCATGTTTTACGAAGAGCAGAAAGCGCGTCGCGTCAAGAAGATCAAGTCGAAGCTATACCACAAGATCCGCAACAAGCAGGACGCCAAGCGCGAGCGGTCGCAGCTCCGGGAACTCGACCCGGAGCTCGCCGACCAGCTCGACCTCGAGGACGCCGAGAAGCGCGCAGAAGAACGCATGACGCTCAAGCACAACAACACGTCCAAGTGGGTCAAGCACCAGCTCGGGCGAGGGATTCAGGCCGACGCCGGTACGCGCCAGGCGATCCACGACCAGCTCCGGCGCGGTGATGAGCTGCGTCGCAAGATGGACACTGTCGCCAACGAGAGCGACCTGTCCTCGGACGACGACAGCGAGACGGAGACCAACGAGACGGAGACGCAGCGCCTCCAGCGCAAGCTCGCGAAGAAGGCGTCGGCGCTCGTGATGGAAATCACGGCCGACGCCGGGGCGTCCAAGGCCGACGGGCTCCACGGGATGAAGTTTATGCAAAAGGCGGTCGAGAAGCAGCGCGAACGCGCGCTCAACGACGCCGAGAAGCTGCTCCAAGAGCTCCGCGGCGACGACTACGACGACAACAACACCGACGACGACGACAACCCGGCGCCGGCCAAGAAGGCCAAGAAGACGACCAAGGTGACGGCTACCGACAAGAAGGCTGTGGCCGCCAAGATGGTCCACGGCTCGCAGCAAATGACGTCCGTCATGATGGACAAGGCGCACAAGACGCGCGTCTCGTCGGCCATTCAGATTGACTTTGGCGACAGCGCGCCGGCACCGGTCGTGCTCGTCGACGAGTCGGCGCCCGAAGCGTTTGCATCGGTGGCAACTGCCGCGCCCGAGAACCCGTGGCTCGACGCGACGGCCACCAAGAAGCGCAAGAAGCCGCGCAACCGCAAGAAGGCGGTGGCCGAGTCGGCGACGATCGGGTCGGCGATCGCCTCGCTCGCAACGACGTCGGACGCGCCGGCGACCGGCATCCTCGGTCCGTCGGCGGCCGATATGAAGAAGCGCAAGGCCGCCGACACGACGACGCCCGCGACCAAGAAGGCCAAGACGACCGATGCCAACGCTTCGGCCAACACTTCGGCCACCGCCAAGACCGAGACCAAGACGGAGGCCAAGACGGAGGCCAAGCCGACGACGCAGAAGAAGCCGACGACGTCGTCGGCCGACCTGGCGCAGGAGGAGCTCGTGCGCCGGGCGTTTGCGTTTGCAGACGAGGGCGACGACGAGATCGGTGCCGAGAAGGACCGCATCGCGGCCGAGGACGGCGACGCCAAGTCGGGTGCGGAAGTGGCCAAGCTCACGGGCATGACGGGCTGGGGCTCGTGGGCCGGCGAGGGCGTCAAGACCTCCAAGCGGCAACTGGCGCGCCTCGAGCAGGCCAAGGCCGTCGCCGCGGCTGCCAAGCTCGCGGCGCTCAGCAAGCGCAAGGACGCCAAGCTCTCGCGCGTCCTCATCAACGAGAAGAAGGACAAGAAGGCGGCCAAGTTTATGGTGGCGAGCGTCCCGTACCCGTTCACGTCTCGCGAGCAGTACGAGCTCGCGATGCGCAACCCGCTGGGCGCCGACTGGAACACGACCAAGTCGGCCAACGCGCTCACGGCGCCCGAGGTCATGCTCCGCGCGGGCCAGATCATCCAGCCGCTCGTGCTCACGAACCAGGAGAAGGCGGCCGCCAAGACGGACGCGGCCAAGGCCAAGAGCAAGGCCACCAAGGCCCAGCGAAAAGCCAAATTTTAAGACGACAATATCATCATCCATCTTTGTACTAGACTAGACAGCAGGGACGAACGCAGTGAGAAAGCCGTCGAACGCGTGCAGGTCGTGCGAGATGCGGGCCCAGATCTCGGGCGCCGCGACCGACTCGGGCACGTAGCCGAATTTGCGCTTGACCTCGACCTGCAGCAAGTGCAGGTACTGCCGGACGTGCTGCAGAAGCGACTCGAGCAGCTGCTTGCCCTCCAGGGCGGTCGCGGCGCTGCGGACGACGTGGGCTCGCGTGAGCGTCACCGTCTCGTGCTTGACGGCGAGCTCTCGCCGCAGCGCCTCGCCGGTCGCCTCGGCTGCGGCAAGGGCCGTCGCCAGGTCGCTCGCCCGCGCCGCGTGGTGGGCCACGTCGGTGAGGAGCGTCTCCTTTTCAGCCGCGACGACGGCTTGCTGCTGCGTCTCGGACGCGACCTCGCGCTGCACTTGTGCTGCATGGGATTCGAGCCAGGCGACGTTCTTGGCGGCCAAAAGAAACAGCCGGTCGATCTACGTGCTGTGAGAGGACGAGGCCAGTGGCAACCGTGGTACCAAAGCCGTCTCGTCGGCGGCGGCGACGGCGTCACGCGCTGCGTCCGCGGGCGGCGCCGTGTCGATGGCCTCACGCACGCCCAAGAGGCCCTCGACGTGCGCGCTGAGCTTGTCTTCGAAGCGCTGGAGCTGCATGCGCGTGCGGCGGTGGGCATCGGCTTCGGCCGCCAGCGACGTCTTGAGGTGCTCGTTCTCGCGGAGGAGCACGAGGAGCTTCGCCATGAGGTCGGTGTCCTGCTCGCGCAGGTCGGCGAGCTGCGCGCTGAGCGACGACCGGTCTTGGAGCTCGGCTTCGACGAGGCGCAACCGCTTTTGCAGCGCGCGTGTTGCGGCGAGCTCCTCCTCGAGCTTGCGCCGGCGCGGCGCCCACGACGCCATGCGCGCGACTGCGTCGTCCTTCCAGCGGCGCAGCTGGGCGAGCTCAAACTGCGCATCGGCAAGGTCGGCGCGGAGGCCCAGGTTCTCAGCCTGCGCGTCCCAGCGCCGCAAGTCGGTCGCCATCACTCGTCGTTTCTTCAAGCCGTTTCGACGCAAGATACACGGCGAGGCAGCGCGAGAAGGATGGGCATGGGACCTAGTCGGCGGCGGCGCAAAACGGGCAGGAGTCCCACTGCCGTGACCACGCGTGGTGGATATCTCACCCACGGCCTTTCTAGACGTGGCAGCACATGGCCGCCTGCCGCAGTCACCACACAGCCTTCTTGGCCAAGCATCCACACCGTCGCGACTGGATAGCGAGCCTCGTGTTCTTGACAAACGACGACAAGGCCGCGTCGACGCCTCAAAGAAGCGCCACATGGACTCGTGGCGAGCAGTAGCACTACCCGTACAGTACGCGTCGGGATACCAGTACGCGCCGAGGGCGGCGTACCATCTGCCTTGTGCGCTCCGCTGCATCGCTGCGTGCTCGGTCTGCTATCGCTACTCGTGCCCACGTCAGGGCTGAGATTGCCGTTTGAGTTTGCACTTCTGGGCGCGCGCAACCTGATCGGTTCCGTAATGGCTGGTATCCCACTCTGGCCATCGCGACAGCACGACAGCGCTGTCGCCAGTTGCGCCAGACGCCAAAACTCGCCAGTATGAACGAGCGCGTGCCACCGAGCCCCGTGCTCGAGTACGACTACCCTGCCGAGCTCTTCGTGCCGGCGCCACGCCGACCGACCGCGTACGACCGCATCCGACAGGCGTACACGCACCCGACCGCGCGCCTCTCGCTCAACGACGACGTCGGGCCCGACAAGGTGCCGCAAGCGGTGCTGCCGTGTCTTGCGCTCTTCACGTCGGTCGTGCTGGGCTTTGTGCTCTCGTATGGCGTCGACTACGCCCTCGATGAGCCGCCCAACTTTGCGAACCGGACCCAAGCCGACTACGAGGCGCTTCTTGCGTTCACGACCAAGCGCGCGTCCATTGCGCGCTGGCTCGACCTCCCCGGCACGCTCTTTGTCCGCGCCTTGTCCTGTCTCGTCGTCCCGCTCATCTTTGTCAACCTCGCCATGGGCGTCGCCGAGCTCGTGCAGACGGCCAAGCTCGGGCGCGTCACCGCCAAGATGCTGCTGCTGTTCGCACTCACGACGATGGCGGCCGCCGGCCAAGGCCTTCTTTGGATGTCGATCGTGCCCGAAGCCCGATTGCACACGAGCCAGACGAACACGACGCGGGTTGACAGTCGCCCGCGCCGCATGATGTCCACCGAGGTCCTCTGCCCGCTCGCCAACAACGAGACGGAGTACCTAATCTGGAAGGACAAGGAGCTGAGCTGCAGCCGCGACAAATCGTCGGCCGCCTTCCAGGTCCGCGACACGAGCCGGATCTTGGCGAATGTCTACAGCGCCCGGCGCAGCGTCAAGAAGCAGTCGGTGGTCGACGTCATCCAGAGCATCTTCCAGATGGTCGTGCCAAGCAACCTCTTTGCGTCCTTCGTGCGGGGCGAACTCCTCAGCGTCGTCGCCTTCGTCGTGCCCTTTGGCCTCGCGATCGCACGGTCGGGGGCCGTCACGGGGCACAACCCGATGTGGGCGCTCTGCCAGCAGCTCACGAGCATCTTCACCATCATGATCGCGTGGGTCATCCAGACCGCGCCAATTGCCGTCCTCTTCATGGTCGCCTCGACGCTTGTCTACCCCGAGGATGAGAACGCAGCGAGCTATGGGTGGGCCGTCGACGGCGGCAGCCTCCTCTCGGGCGTCGTCAAGGACCCGTCGGCGCTGCCGTTTGAGCAGATCCTCGCGCGCTCCGAGTACTTCTTCGACAACCTCACGGCCGAAAAGTCGTCGATGCTCACGTTCCTCGGGCTCTACTTGGCCGGGTGGGTCCTGCACTGCTTTGTGTTTTTGCCGGCGCTCGTGCTACTCACGACGTCGCGGGCGCCGTGGACGTACCTCCGGCGCATCTTCCCCGCGCTCTCGTTTGGTTTCTTCAACGCGTCGGCGCTGGCGTCCATGCCGCTCCTCATGAAGTTCATGCACCTCTCGCAGTTTGTCTCTCGCCACATCACGCGCCTCGTGGTCCCTGTCGGGACTGGTGTCCACATGGACGGCGTCGCCTTGTACGTCTCGTCGGCCATGGTCTTTCTGCTCCGCACGCAGAGCTACGACCGCAGCGCGCCCGTTCCCGAAGCCTTCTTGCTCAACGGCGCCATGTACGCCATCATCTTTGTGTGCGCGACGGTCGCGTCCTGGACGATGCCGCCACTGCCGCACAACGGGCTCCTCGGGCTCACGTTTGTGTGGTTCACGGTCGTGGGCGAAGTCCGCCCCACGAATTTGCACTGGATGATTGCCATGGACGTCGTCACCGACCGCCTCTCGACCGTCGGCACCATGATGTCGAACGCGATTGTGACGCTCATCATCGCGTCGTCGGTCGACGAACGCTACGC